TAGGTTTTTTTTTACCGTGGGCGTGCACGCAGGGGGGCGCAGACCACCCCACCCACGCCCCCCAGGGAAGCTTGGGGGGGGGGGGTATTTGGGGGATTTGGGGTCCACCCATCTTAAAGTTCCCAAGGTTGAGAAACACTGAGTTAGATTCTTCCCTATTGCATCTGAACTGCTGTGGATTGCACCTTTTGTATACCAAAGCGGAGATGTTTTCAGTCCCCCTGGGTCTGCAGGAAAGCTTGATTTAATATAGGAACCTAGCAAAGTTCCCTTTATGAAACTGATCCCCAAGTCTCCGAGCACGGGGCTGCCGACACTGACTCACACCAGGGTTGCAGGCAAGAATCTTCCCCGTCTCGGCCGGGAGATGTTGGAGGGTGCACACTCTCTTTCCCTTTCCGTGCGTGCGGGTGTGGACTGGGGACACCCATTCCGCCCTGCCGCCCTCATCGGTCAGAAAAATGCAGGATCCCGCGGCAAACAGAGCACGATGCCGGCAATTTTACCTTTAATGGCAGGAAAGCTTCCAAAATGGTCCAGGGAGGACCCATGGGTGCCTGTGAAGGGACCAGGCCGCCTAAGCAGGAATGTCTAGGCACGAGTGGAGCAGATAGGCAACCACATCGATTGGGGTTTTTCTGGGTTGGGGGGGGAAGAGGGGAAGAGAAGCCAAAAGCCTTCGGTAACCGCATTATCTCCACCAGGGTCATACCAGAACAGACCACCAGCAGGCAGCATCTCTCCCTCGCTTTATTTTATTTATTAAATGTTTAAAACTGCCCCGTAGCCAAAGTTCTCTGGGCGATCTACAATCAAAGGCGCTGAAAACAGAAGGACGGTCTGAATAAAAACATATACAATGAAATGCAAAATAAAAACACCGTATGGACTAGGCGGTTGCAAAGACGAAAACCATATAAGTCAAAATGCAATTAGGAGCCAGGGAAAAGGCCTGGAAGAATAGAAGGGCCTTTGCCCGGCCCTAAAGGGATGCCAGGGTGACTGCCGATTGAGGCTCACTGGGGAGGAAATCCCCCCCCGAAAAATCTCTCCCCTTGCAGAGGCCCAACTTGCCTCCTTTGGGGGAGGACCTCATGGGGTCGGGGGAGGAAGGCGCAGGACACAGCCATACAAACCACCCCTCGGATCGGGTCCAGAAACGGGGTGGCGAAGGGCTGGTGGGACAGGTTTGTACAGCACTGGCCTCTCTTCCGAACCAACGGAAGCTTCTGGACCGTCCTCAAAGGCGGCCCCAGGCACAGCATGCGGCAGGGCAAATGTGCCGAAAACGTGGCTGGCTACGGGGCCCATCAGAAGAAAATCTCCTTCCTATTAATCTTGTCTCTGCTGGTGCCTTTGTGCAGTTTTCTGGGCAGCAGAACAGGAGTGCTTCGTGCGTGCCTTCTTCCTGGAGCCAACAATCCTGACATTTCCGGGTGGTCTCCCATCCGAGTTTTAACTACACCTAATCCCGCTTAGTTTCCCAGCCTAGAGAAGGCCAACAAAGGGCTGCCGTTCGTTAGCCATTTGGCATCTCCAATGGGCTAGAATGCAACTGCCGCCACCCCCGGCGGGTGGGATGGACTACTGTTCCCATCATCCACCCACCGGTCCCAACTTCTCCCCTGCAGACAGGCCAGCCAATAACTGAGTGGAGACAAGTGCTATTGCTTTGCTTCCTTTTCCTGCTGGGGGAGAGAGGTGTGAGATAAGCCAAGCTGTGGCCTGCGCAGGGTTATCGCTGGGGCGGCACGGCCGGGGGGTGCGAGCTTCGAAAGCCTGCGAGTGCAGCGCCCTGCCTCGCCTCCTGCCAGCCGTTGGGAGATAACCACCGGGGGAAAGCGCTGCCCGCCTGTTTCCGCTCCTCTCCAGACGGGAGCCATTATGCCACCACCTTGTAAATGTCACGGGCACCCTTGCCCGTCCTCCCCTTGCGCTCGGCACGTGCGGTCGGTCTTCCCAAAATAGGCCTTGCTGCTCCCGGGCTGGAGATGCCGAGGTGCCCAGTTTGCCTGTGTTGGGAGGGGCAACAGGACACTCAGCCGGGCCCTCGGGGAGAAGCGGGGCTAAAGGGGGAAGGGGGCCTCTCGGGCGCAGGGCTCCAGCTGCAGGGCCATGGTGGGTGCGCTGGCTCCCTTCCAGCCAGGTGGGGAGGGGGGACAGAGCTGGAGTCCCCCCAACTCCCGGCAGGCATCGCAGCGGGGGAGGGGGATGAACTGCAAGCGCCATCGTTTAAAGAGGACGAGGGGGGGCAGAACGGGCAGAGGTTGCCCAACACTCAGCAGCAGGAATGCGCTGGAGGAGCCGTTATCTGGGTGGGGCGCTGAGGGGTGGGAAGGGGGGGCAGAGAAGGCGTCAGAGGGAGCGGGCTCCATCCTTCCCACGGAAAGTCGGCTTTC